AGTCAGTCATTCAGTCAGTCAATCAGTCATTCAGTCAGTCAGTCAGTCAGTCATTCAGTCAGTCAGTCAGTCAGTCAGTCGGTCATTATGTCTTTCTTCCTTACCTTCTGTCTGTCTGTCTTTCTTCCTTTGTCTTTCATGTTCAATTGCTAAAAAAAGAAATTATTTTATAGCGGCATATTTTATATAATATACGGCATGATAAATGACAGAAGTTTTCTTTACTAAAACACATCTTTCATGCATTTTTGTTTGTTTTTCTTATATAGATATTTCCTCGAAGCTTCAAGAACGTCTTGATCAACTTGAAAGACTAATAAACGAACGAGTACCTTCAAAGTCCGAAAGTCTTATAAGTGGTACGTAATTCCAAGAGACTTATAAATACTGTAGTACGTAAGATTCAGTTTTCGTATGAGTGGTAAAGGATATATAAACGACCTTTTTTTTAAAGGAACCGCATCTTACAGTGACCGTAACTGCGCGTTGTGGTTGATGAAGTCTTAGAACATAGTGTATGGGAAGCTATTTTTTTATTTTAAGATAGCTATCATAGATGGACGCACGGCGCCTCATTGCACGCAATCTTGCAGGCAATCGATGTTGCGATTTATCTCACACGACGCAATTTGTTGCACGCAACGTTGCTGAAGTAGAAAACTAACCTAAGTCAGCAACATTGGCTGTAATTTTGCACGCAATGTTGCACGACGTATCCGTTTGTTGCAATGTTGCACAACGTGTTCTTTCCGATCATGAAAGCCAGAGAAAAGAGAGAAGAGAGGAGAGGAGAGGAGAAGAGAAGAGAAGAGAAGAGAAGAGAAGAGAAGAAACGAAACCATTCAGTGTACTAATCTTTATTTTTTACTCCAAAATTAAACATCAAAAAACTTCCCAATACTTCGCATGCGTTGATGTTTGACAGCGGCTACGTGTTTTCTTAACGTTGTTTCTTAAGATTTTCCTACAATTGTCTGCACGGATTTTCATCACAGGTATCCTTATTCATGTTTTACCTAATCTATTCGTTTCCATTATCTTTTTAGACAATCGTATGGATACGCTGAACAGTCGCTTGAGTAAACTGGAAAGGCAATTAGATATACTGAAGAGAGATAAACAGAGCTTTTCTGGGGTTGGTAAGTGGTTTGCAATTGGGCTCGGGTAATATAAGCCTAGTCTTCCCCACAGCCGCTTTCAGTGTCGTCACGCAACGCTTTCTACTCAGGAGAGAAAGCGTGGCGTGACGACACTAAAAGCGGCTGTGGGGGAGACTACGACAACCACAGCGGTTCCGTCTCTCCACACTGCCTTACCCTGCAAGGAAAAAAGAACAACGGAGGACGTAAAGAAACCCTGGCTGTGACCACCTACAGTATCTTGCACAGTACAGATGACTAATACTGCAGGTTTCATATTTAATACTTCAGCGCGTAGTTATAGGCAATCCGCTTATTAGACGCGACACATTTTTGCTACAAAAGAAAATCTAGACCTGCGTTTAGCAGAAAGAATTAATCTTTGAATTGTCAACTCCGCATTTGCTCAACCACTCAAACATCAACTCGACATTAAAAAAAAAAACGCATTTACAAACTGTACAAATGCTTTATTAAATTACATGGGTGTGGGGACAAGAGTTTACATACAGCTGAGATCATTACTATTAAATACCGCTGTGATCCTTGACTACAGACTCATCTGTACAAGTTGATAATCGGTCAAATGGTTCACAAAAATCAACCGTATTTTGAAGAACTTGAACCACACGAATGTTTTGAAATACCATCGACTTGTATGACCAACTTTACCCTAGGTTCCAGAGGCCCGTGTGGGCCCTGGGGGCGAGGGAGAGAGAGGGAGGAGGAGGCCCCTCTCTCCCTCGCCCCCAAGCCCCACACGGGCCGCTGCAACCCAGGGTAGACTAACTTATATACGAGGCTAAACCTGTACGAGTCTGTGGTCATCAAAATCAGCGGTATGCATCGAAAGAGGAAGGACTATTCTTCATTACGACATTCATGGCTGACGTACATTTTTTGACAGCTGTCAAACTAGAGGCTATCAATTATCGCTTGGAGAAACTCGCAAGAAACAGTAAAGATACAGCACGTGTTGGTGAGAAACAGCACTAAGCGTTATGGGTAATATTGTACAGACTAATAACTAATAATACCAAAATAACCATATCCTTAATCACCATTCACTGACAACTCCTAATCAAGGCATGAACCATTAATGTTACTGTCACAATGCATTAAACAAGTCTAGTTTCATCGTATGTACATAATTTAGTTTTGCTTACCCAGATTCCTCTCGACCAAACTCAGAAAGAGGGTCTGTGATGATTGATCGATGTATTTTGTGATGGGAGAGCCGTAGCAGGTAGTTGATATAATGTATTCATAAAAATACAGTGGTTCCACCTAATACAATAGATTTTCTGAATACATTACATCAACTGAGCTAGTGCTATGTAGGTTCTCCCATTTTGTGCCATTTTGTGATATTCAAAATGGCTTCCTGAAAAGATTAGGTTCAGACGTATTTTACGTCACTTTTAAAATAAAGCGCCAATTTGACAATCACAAGACTCAGACACCCTTGTAAAAACAGTGGATTGTGACGATCTCATCTTTTATTCAATAATATTTAGCTATCCATGCGACTAATGCGTTTATTGGCACTAAGTATATTGTGTACATTGCATACACACTTCTGCAACATACTTGATCTCATAACAAAGAAATACCCGTATTATTAACGAGACTACTTGGGCTAGATTGTACGACCTGGACGGTCTTTACTGCTACATACT